ATTAATTAGATTGGGTGACTTTAGCACTGTCCAATAGAACTTTCTGCAATGATGGAAATGTTAAAAAGAACATTCTCATTCTCACTGTTCAGTATAGCAGCCATTCGCCACATGTAGGCACTGAGCACACAAAATGTGGCTAGTATGACTGAGGATCTGAATTTAAAATTTACTTAATTTGAATATATTTATATTTAAATAGCTAGTAGCTCCCATATTGGACAGTGGAGTGCTGGACCAAAATTCAGTATATTCAAAACATTGAGCAAAGAGAGAGAGAGAGAGCTCATGGACATGGACAACAGTGTGGTGGTTGCAGGGTGCTGGGATGGGGGGAGGTGGAAGAGGGTATATGGGGGATAAATGGTGATGAAAAAAAGTAAAAGAAAAGAAAAGAAAAAAACTCATTGACACAGACAACACTATGGTGGTTACCAAAGGGAAGGGGGATGAGGGCAGCAAAGGATAAAGGGGGTTAAACATATGGTGACGGAAGGATTTGACTTGAGTGTTGGGCACACATGCAACATGAAGATCATATATCCTAGCAATGTACACCTGAAACCTACATAATCTTACTAACCAATGTCACCCCAATACATTTAATAAAAAGAAAAAAATTACTCTATAGTTTTACAATAAATAAATAAAAGAGTACAGTCTAGTCTAACCCTCAACTTTATCTTTTGCTTTTGCTTTTTGAAAGTTGTAGGTTTGATTTCTTTGTTCTGTTTACTTAATTTGCAGTACTTACAAGTCATACCTCATTTCACTTCTTTATTCATTTCCATTTCCTAGGTACTTCATACCTGATTAAACTTGGGACTCCACTGATTTTCCTAAATGTAGTCTGTGATGATCACAAAAACTAAAATAATTATCTATGCTTTAATATAGTTTCATTTCATAGTAATATATCTGCCTGCAGATTGCCCAAACTTGAAAACTTGCTATTGAAATTTTACATTAAAAATTCTGACGACACTCTTGGGTGAAGTTATAATTTAATAAACATTCCTCTGTCAAAGTTATTTCAACAGTCACTAGGAATCAAGATTATTTAAATGTTACATTACCTGACATTTTATCAGAGTATTATATTTCACATTATTTTCTTAAGAATAAAAGCAGTTACACAATCAACTATGCTAAGTGCAATAGCCAGTCAGAGAAAGACATGTACCATATGATTTCACTCATATGTGTAATCTAATGAAGAAACCGAACTACCAGGCAAAATGGAGACAGACTCATAAACAGCAGGCAGATAGCTCTGGTGCTGGGGGTAGAGGGAGTTTTGGGGGGTTGTGGGATAGAGGGATTGAGCAAAAGAGAGAAAAAAGAGAGAGACAGAACTCATGGAACTGGACAACAGTGTGGTGATTCCAAGGGGGAGGGATGCGTCGAGGTGGAAGAGGGGATAAATGGTCATGGAAAATAAAATTAAAATAAAATAATAAAATTAAATTAAATTAATAAAATAAAATAAAATAATAAAATGAAATAAAATAATAATAAAATAAAATAATAAAATAAAAATACACAATAACCAAAGTCAGAACTATTTTTTCTTTCCTTTCCTCAGGGCAGACACCTCTCTACTATCACATCAGCTTTAAAGTCAATAACATTGACTATGACAGCAAGTTTGAAAAACAGTATTCACAAAAATATATGGACCTCAATGAAAAGATAGTGTCTTTGGTAAGTTAAAATGTTTTTTCTGTGCATTGTGTTTTTTTCTCAGTTGTGATATGCAAATGATATGTTACTAAATCCTTGCAGATCTATAAATATCTGTCTTCTGACTTGAGATTATATCTTGACTGGGAATAGGATGGTTGAATTGTAAATTTCTTATCTCAGAGTACGAGGATATTATTTCACCAGCTTCCAACTTCAAATGTTACAAATGAAATTTCTGATTCTATTTTTTCACCAACATATATTTTTTCCTATATAGAAGCTTGTAGGTATCTTTCTTTGTATCTAAAATTCAAGAATATTCCCCGAATACATTAAACATGCCTGAAAGTCAGTCTACTCCTTTGAACCTACAGGTTTTGATCTTTATTTAATTCAGGACAATTTTCTCCCATTATTTATTATAATTATGATATGTCATCCATCTCTTTTTTTTCTCTTTTCATACTCCTACGTTTTATAGCCACTTCTGGAACCAAGCTCTCAGTATTTTGTTTTCACTCATTTTTTTCTTTTTCTTTTTTAATTTTACTAATTTGAGATATATATATATATATATTTTTGGCCTTCTAGACCACAAATTTGGATCTCAAGGGTGATAATCATCTTTTTAAATTGACTACTGAAATTTTTAACTTGAAAGTTGTATTTTCTAGTCTTTTTTTTCCTACACCTAAGTGCTCTTATGTGTGCTTTTTTTCCATTGTTGTTTAGGTTGCTATCTGTTTCTCCTGTTCTGTTTTGATGAGCACTTAATCTGTTTTATTTCCTTTCTCTGGCTGCTGGGCTCCTTTATTTGCATTACCATTTTTCCTTGTTGGCTTATTGGGGCCACTGTTTTGTTACTTGAAGTAGTCCTACAGGTTGGATGGTGAGATGTTCTTAAATCCTGTGGCTCGGGGTTGGGCAGCAATCATTCTCAGGTTCCCCATTTTCTGCCCACCATCCTAGCTTAGTCTCAGGAGCAAGGAGTCTTCGGCACCCTTTGCAGTTCCTTCTTGGTCACGGTGGGGCTATGGAAACCCACTCACATGATCCAGTCTCAAATTAATCCCTGGGCATACACAAACCTCTGTTGGCCAAGCTCTTCCCAGGGCCTGTTGTGATTCCATCTTTGCACAGGGCTCTCAGGTTGTTCTCTAGGTTCTGACCCCTGGAAATGAAAGCTCCTCATCACCTCTATGCTTCAGGACTCCCATTAAACCCCAATCCACTTAGCCCCAGGAAAGGAAGATATACTGAACTGGGACTAGAAGAGAAATATGACCTCATTCAGTTATCATCTTGTCAACGTCCTCCCATTCAGTGTATTTAGGAATTATATCCAAACTCCTTACCATGGCCAACAAGTCTCTCTGTAATCTTTTCCCTCTCTACATGGCCAACCTCAACTTACACACTCTCTCCCTTGCTCACTTTACTTGAGTCACAGCAATTTGACTTCTATCCCTCAATTATACCAGTCTCATTTTTACCTAGGGCCTGCTGTTCCCTCCATCTAGAATACTCTTCTCCCCTTAGTTGTCAACTTTTCATCTTTCAGGTCTCACTCAAATATCACCTCTTCAAAGAGGCCTGATTTGGTCATTCAAATACTGTCCCCCAAATGAATCTATCACATTATTTCATATTTTTATATTACCTAATGCTATCTCAGGTTATCATATTTACATATTTATTCCTTGGTCTGCTTACTATCTGTTTCCTCTTTTGAATCTCTAAGAAGAATAGATTTATCTAATTAGTTCATAGTTTTATTTCAATAAATATTTATTGAATACATGAACACATTCCAATTCCTTTGGAGCAAGAGAAAAAATATTAATTAAATCTTTGCAATTTCAATAAGGAATCAGCTTTTTGAGGCCTGTCTTTGCCAAAGTAAGAGTCGTGGGCACTGCAATTTCTTGTCTGATGCTATGCAAAGGTCCTACAGTGGGAAATCATCCTTTAGGCTGAGATCAGGAGCAGTTGAGAAAATGATTCTTTCATAAAATTTCTCTGAGATTTCTACATATCCCACTTTGAACCCATCAGTAGCATATAATTGAAATATCAGGCTAAATGGTTTGCAGTCCAAACATGAAAGGAGACTGCCATAGTACACACACAAAAAAAGAAACATACCTTCTAGGGACATTTCTGTATGTGTTATGACATTGATGCTCAATAAAAGGCTGAACAAAGAAGATAAAATCTATTAGTTGGTCTTTTGAATTCACCTCTTCAAAATGAATATTCTGATATATCATGCTACCATTAGAAACAAATATTTTGTCTCACTGTGCCACATAATTTTTTTTATTTAGAGACACTTATGAATAAACTGAGCCAGTACAAAGATAATTTTCAAAAAGATACATATTTAACACATTGCATCTTCTTCCTAAATGAATTATGATATGGGGAAATTTTAATACTATGTATTTGATAATACTGAAGAATTAGTTAATTCCTACGATGGTAGGCAGTAGTGAAATGAAACCGCTTTGGCCATTTATTGACAGTTGGTATGGCTGAATGACGGGGACATGGGTTTTGTTACACTATTCTATCTGCTTTCACGTACGTTTGAAGTTCTCCACAATGAAATCTTAAAAATAAAAATAAAACATAATCATTATGCATTTTACTTTTTGACAGATAAATGAAACATTTCATGGATCCAAACTGAGAAGACAGTATGTGAGGTCTCATGTTGTCCAAGTAAGGTATATGAATAGCCTGGGAGGCACAGAGAATAGACTTTTTGTTTTTTCCTTTCCCACCTAGTACGAGCAGAATATCTTTGCTTGGTGTGCAATTGAAGGGTTGGAACAAATTTGAATTTGGGGCTTCAAAACCACCAGAATTTTCAAAAGTAAAAAAAAGGAAAAAAAGGGGGAAAAAAGGTGTTCAAGGTCTATTGAGAAATTATTAAACCAGAATCAAGAGTTCCTGTTGGTTGTGAATTTCGAGTAAAGAGAAATCTAAAATCAGTAGATGATTTCAAGCTAAGGAAAGAATGGGTAAGATAAGAGAGCCGTGAACAGAACGTCTGACCCAGGACTGGCAAACTAGTAGCCAATGGGGTAAATTTAGCTTAGAGTGTGGATTAAATGTAAGAGTTAGAAAATTGCACATAAAAAAAAAAAGAATTTTCAGAATGTTGAAAGCTCAAAAGATCTGACAATGCAAAGCCCACATTCCCACATGACAACAAAGCACTGAAACTGAGGCCGTAAGGTTTGCAGCAGTCCCAGACACTCCTGTGACATACACACATGTACTGACGCCGACCAGCTTCATTCTTTTACCTTGTCTTCCTGCCCCTCTAAAATTCCAGTTCTACAGTTGTTTTCTAGCAGTGAAGATGTTTATCCAAACACTGGGGAGGAAGAGACAACCTGCAATAGATAGGAAAAGAAGAATAACTACAAGCACAAATAGAAATGTTAACGTGCTTTGGAATCTACCTCTCCTTAAAACAAGAACTGCTGCTATTAAAATTTCTTGGTTTATTTTTATTTTTTTATCTTGGTTTATTTTTAAATAATTCATGTTCTTAACCAGTACCCCTAGAGAACTTTTTATATATTAACCCATTTAACCTGATAACAACGCTGTATGGTTTTATATATTAGTTTCCCATTCTACAGATGAGGAAACTGAAGTAAAGGCAGTGACTTGCCAAAGTCACACATTTAATAAATAATAAAGCTGTAGTTTGAACCCAAGCAGGTATATCTAGATTATTACATCAATTTGGCTAATCATCTTTCACTCTTGCTCCACTACAATCCACTCCCCACACAGCAGTCAAAGTGAGTTGGAAAAGCATATAATACCCTACTTAATATCATCTGATCATTTCCCACTAATTCCATACTCTTTATATAATCCACGTGACCCTACCTGACCTGGCCCTTCCTCTCTCTGACATCTCATACCCTTGACTTCAACCATGACTTTATAGTCATACTACTGACCTGCTATTATTTTTCCAATAAACATGCAAATTGCATCATTGGCTTTGCCCAAAGAAAACTAAACTCATGTCTTCATGACAGGAGGTGGTTTTACAACTTGGAGTAAGGTGCCCACCAAGGTTAGGCTTTCACCTTCCCACTGAAACAGAGATAGAGGGGCTACCACCTTTGATGGTTACATTTCAAAGAGATGGCTTTCAGGTCCTTGACAAAAACATTTCTGGGGTTAAACTGCAAGAGCCTTTTGAAAGGTTTACTTATAATTTGAAGGGCAGAGAAATTATTTACATTTACAAGTTTTCTAAAGTAAATGATCTAAAAGGGGGGCTATCAGGCACCTAGAATCACGAAGAAGCCTGTCAAATATTTAATAATGCTGAGGGGAATGGTAAGGCTATTTTGGTTCAGGTGTTTACACTTGATGTTCCTTCTTTCTGGAACATCCCTCCTTCAGATCTTAGCATGACTCACTCCTTGTTATGAGGCTCTTACTTCAAAGAGGCTTTGTATAATATTCCCATCTCTACCCTTCAAATCCTTGCTCTATTTTCTTCATAGAATTTATCATGAATATTATATTTCTTTGTTCTCTTGTTATTTCTTTGTTTCCTACTAGCACAATAGTAGGATCCTGTGGTCTTACATGAGCTGATACAGTGCTGGTACCTAGAACTATGTCTGGCATATTGCCTGGACTAATTAATACATGTTTGTTTAATTAATTAATTAATTAAAAGTTCAGGAATGTAAAGGAAAACATGCATTTGTCATATAAAACTAAAGAGTGTTTTATGAGTCAAAAGAAGGTAAAATTAAAATAACTTTTAGTTCATTCTTTCAGTAGAAAAGATCATTTTACCCTAATGATGTCAGATTAATAATCCATATGTCTATATTTAGTTTAATTTTAGATTGTTATTTGACACAGGATAAAAAGTCAAAGTGACATCCATGGTTTGACAAAATCTTTAAATAAACAAGGTAATTCAATATGTCCTTGTCTATTGCATAAGAAATAAAGAGTTGTCCCTACAGATCAGGGATGAAAAATTAGCATTGCACCTACATAAAAGCAGAAGAGGTGAGAATACTTAATAAATTGGCATGTAATAACTAATGCTTAATACTGTATAAAGGAAACAAAAATAGTTCATGTGTAGTTCTCAAAGGAAAAGCATATGTATACATACCCTAAAACATAAAGTAATAAGGAGTGATATAAAAATTAGCTAATCCTTTAATTTAGAATTATCCTGGAAAAAAAATATTAAAATAATAAGGCTTCATAATCATTTATAATCTTAGATATTGACCATGGTTTCTGTTTTTGATCATTAGTGTTATGAAGGTTTGAAAGCGGATGTTTCCAGGATCTTTCTTGAGTCTCATAAAGCTTCGGGGTGGTTGTGGATTTTCAAATGCACAAGTGCAGAGTAATACCTAGAGAGGTGAGGGGCCACAGAAAAGAGAACAGAGCAGAAGACACGGTCCATCAAGTCGGTGGTAGTTACTCCTTTTAAAATTTCTGGTTTGTTTATTTGTTTTTATTTTGTTTATTTTATGTATTTGCATCTTCAAGTCAGAATTACAAATTTAATAAATCTAGTCTGTTTTTCGTTTTGCTCAATCATGATTTCCAACAGGTGAGAGATAATTGGCCCACTCTTGAAAATTCTGCTTCCACTGAAAAAAAAAAAGATAACTATTCTCTCATCTTACCTGTAACACATCATTTTATTATTTGCTATTGGCCCTTTATACAGAGTCCATACTGGATTTATAATAAATAGATACATTTATATTAATAAATAATTTCTGCCCACTACTCTAAATTTTTCAAAATACATCCATATGCATTATCTTATATGGTATTTACAAGAACCCAGTAATAATATTACCATCCCCATTATAGAGATGAGGAAGTTTAAGTACAAAGAACGCCAACAGCTTGCTATAGTCAAGGAGGTGGCAAACGGTGAATCTAGAAGACAAACTCAGTTTCCCTGCGTCTAAATCACACTGTCTTACTGTTCACCATGTCCAGAAAGTGCCAGTTCCACGCCCTTGGGAGAAACTGAAATAGCCGCCAGGAGCTCTGCTTAACATAGTATAGAATCCCTCTACTAAGAATGATAGAGACTCAGTAATAAAAGCATAATTTATTTGTCCACTTCTGTTCTGCAGCCAAGCCAAAGGGAAAGTGATAGTACATTCTGTGCTGAAGTTTACATTCTGCTGTAAAAATAAAGCAGCAAAATGTCGGGATAGGATTGAAACCATTTTACATCAGATGTTAAATGGTGAAACTGGATGTTTACATATAGATTCTTCTTCATTGAAAGTCTCAGGTAAGCATTTTTCTATATGGCATAGAGTGATTTTCAACTTTTAATTTGAATATAGTATTTTATTATGCAAAGGAAAACAACACTTCTCTCTTTAAAGCATCATTTTATATACAGTTGCTTTTGATCACTGTTAAAGTATTCAAGGTTCATTTTAATCAATTTCTTGATATAATATCACCCTTGTACTATTGGAATTAAACCTCACTCAATAATAGATTTTAAAAAATTAATCAGGTTCCCAAATAACGTTTCTTTTCAACACAAGGCAACCTTTAACTTTCAAACTATTTATGACTCATTCTGTGGGTCATGATTTCTCTCTCCATTCTGTTGGATGTCTCAAGAATCTAGGCTTCTAAATTCCAGAATTTAGTTTGAATGTCTTTAACTTGCTTCTTTATAGGCCTTTAATAGACTTTGTCTCTTACTCTTACGCACAATCTAATTCTTATTCTTGTTCACCTAACACTATTATAAATGGCAGCTTCTAAAAGGTAGGGACAAATGTCCCACCATTCCCAGGAAATGAGTGTTTCTCTGGTCTTGATAAAAAGTACAGCTAAGCAAGGCTATCAGTTCTGTGGTACAACAAATTTGACAAGGGCAGAAAAGTATCTCTACCCCTGCAGGATGGACTAAAAGGACTAAATGCTTGGGGGTGCAGGGAATCTAGACCAAATATTCATTTGCCTAAAACATCAAAAGGCTCAAAAAGCAAAACCTGAACCTGCTTCTCCTGGATAAGAAGTCATCATGTGGTTGAAATGACTCTCCTCCCATGATCTGATGCCTTCTCTTAGAACCTTCCTTATCACCCAGCTTATCCTGTGTGTCATGACCTCAAGACAATACAGAGAAATAAAACAGCTCTCCAATTTATAGAGAAGTTTCCAGCAAAGATGTATTTTGGGAAACTCATGTGCTAAAACCATGAACTCACAAGTTAAGAAACAGCATTATATTCCTTGTATTTTTCCAAACTTTAAGAACATTATGTAGGATATCAGGAAAACAGACTTTCTGGATGTCTTCCAGGTTTATGATTTTTCTCAGTGGCTTTATCTATTACAGTGCCATCCTACAGTTTTATGAAGAGCAGTGACTGTTCAGTGTAATACACTTAAGTATAGATGGTGCTTCGGTGTTGTCCTAGCCTCTTCCTCTTGCTTAGAAACTCCCTCTCCCTCCTTTCCCACCTCTCAGCAGAATGTAGTGTCTCCTGAAACTGGCTGGGGGGTCACAGGTGCAGGATCAAACGCAGCAGCCAACTGGGCGAGTCCTCCAAAACCACAATGAAGTAAATTGACACAAAGCTCACATTCAAACAGCTCGTACTTAAAGGTAATGTGAATCTTCATTGATCACCGCACAAAGGGGTCTCTGGCTTAGGGATCTACGGAAGCTCATTTAGGTAGTCAAGGTCGCTGTCACAGCGTCTTATTGAATAGCCGGACGTCCTTCTGTTGCCTGGTTAGTTCAGTTACTTAGAGCCTGCTTGTGAGGATGTCAAGGTTGTGAGGTTCATTTTCACACAAACTGTTTAACATAGCGGAAAAAGTCACACCTTCCTACACTGGCCAGTGCTGTTAGTTACAATGAATGGCTGGCTGACTACAGCACCAGTGTTTCTGTATCATGATGCCTAGAAAGAAGAGATAGAGAATAGTGGTTAAGGTCATGGGTCCTGCTATGAGATTTAAACCCCAGGTCCTCTTCATATTAGCTATGTGACTTTGGAAAAATTACTTAACATTTCTGGGCTTCAGTCTAACTATCTCATCACGGGAATGATGATAATAATAAAAAAATACTTCATATGGTTGTTGTGAGTATTTAAAGTATTTAAAGGACCTAATGTATTTAAAGTATTTAAAAGACCTAATGCACTTTTTATTATTTAATTTTATTAATTTTTTCCATCACCATTTATCCCTAAAAAAGACCTAATGCACTTTAAAAAAAACAAGACCAATAAGAGTAAGTATTATTAATTTTGGGGCTTTTATGTGGAGAAAAAGAAACACTCAAAATATATGTCATATGGATTGTAGATTTGAAAGTCACCTGCCT